GCAGCGTTTGGTGGCCCCATAGGTGGCTCCACCGAAGGCCCCACTGGGGGTGTTCGCATGCGGGTCCCCCACCCAGGACGGCGTTTCGTGGCCCCATAGGGGGCTCCACCGAAGGCCCCAGTGGGGGTGTTCGCATGCGGGTCCCCCGCCCAGGACAGCGTTTCGTGGCCCCATAGGGAGCTCCACCGAAGGCCCCAGTGGGGGTGTTCGCATGCGGGTCCCCCACCCAGGACAGCGCTTCGTGGCCCCATAGGAAGCTCCACCGTAGGCCGCAGTGGGGGTGTTCGCATGCAGGTCCCCCACCCTGGAAAGCGTTTCGTGGCCCCATATGGGGGCTCCACCGAAGGCCCCAGTGGGGGTGTTCGCATGCGGGTCCCCAACCCAGGACGGCGTTTCGTGGCCCCATAGGGGGCTCCACCGAAGGCCCCGGTGGGGGTGTTCGCATGCGGGTCCCCCACCCAGGACAGCGTTTCGTGGCCCCATAGGGAGCTCCACCGAAGGCCCCACTGGGGGTGTTCGCATGCGGGTCCCCCACCCAGGGCAGCGCTTCGTGGCCCCATAGGGGGCTCTACCGAAGGCCCCACTGGGGGTGTTCGCATGCGGGTCCCCCACCCAGGACGGCGCTTCGTGGCCCCATAGGGGACTCTACCGAAGGCCCCAGTGGGGATGTTCGCATGCGGATCCCCCACCTAGGGCAGCGCTTCGTGGCCCCATAGGGAGCTCCACCGAAGGCCCCAATGGGGGTGCCCGCATGCGGGTCCCCCGCCCTGGACAGCGTTTCGTTGCCCCATAAAGAGCTCCACCGTAGGCACCAGTGGGGTTGCCCGCACGCGATTTCCCCACCCAGGGCAGCGCTTCGTGGCTCCATAGGGAGCTCCACCGTAGGCCCCAGTGGGGGTGTTCGCATGCGGGTCCCCCACCCAGGGCAGCGCTTCGTGGCCCCATAGGGAGCTCCACCGAAGGCCCCAGTGGGGGTGCCCGCATGCAGTTCCCCACCACCACCACTGTGGCAGGTCCCTCACACAGTTCGTGGCCCCATAAGGACCTCCACCTAGGACGATATTCACAACTGCGGTACTCACAACTGCATATGGTTGGGTCCTTCGCCAGGCTAATTTCGATGCCTCTGGAGCCTTCCATGGGGACCATGCGGGGACCTCTGAGGGCCCCCCAGGAGCTCTGGGGACGGGCCGCTGCAATGGGGCCAGAGCATCGGGATCCCGCAAAGGGGGGGGCCCAGTGTGTGTGTGTGTGTGTGTGTGTGTTGTGTGTGTGCGCGTGAGAGAGAAAGAGAGAGTTCGGTCGGTTTTGCACCGAACCGCCCAAAACAGATGCCCCCCCAGCCGCCGGCAGCTCCTAATAGTTGTCGATTGGTGGGGCATGCGGTGGGCATTTGTTTGCGGCAGTTCGGTGCACCAACGGATCGAACTCATGCCCCCCCTCAGGGTCACCCCCCTTCTGGTGGGTCCCGAGAGCAAGCCCGTCGGAGGATCGCGTCGCATCACCGACATTGCCGATGCACCGGCCACGCATCGGCAATGCATTGGCGATGCGTCGACGCCGTCGGCGTAGGGGAAAACTCGGGCTCCACGTCGAGCCGCATTGGGCGAGCGGGTGCGACACTCCTGCCCCCATCTTCACGGGCCCCGTGTTGGGGAGGCCTGGGCGACCTGGTGCGGCGCGGCAAGGAGCCCGATTGCCTTCATCCCGACGTCTCGAAGAAGAAAAAACGCCATAAACATAAACTTTTGGCGCTCCGCGCTGGGCCCCCCTGGCGGCGCCTCCAGCGCCGCCCCTGGTGCGCTCCGCGCGCCAGGGAGGGGGTCCAGCGCAGATCCAAGAAATCGGCGCGGAGCGCCAACAGTTTATGTTTATGGCGTTGTTTCTTCTTCCAACGTCGCCGATGCGTCGGCGACGCCTATCTGATGCGGTCCCATTCGGGAGGCCTCCGGGGGGGGGGGGTCCGCGAGGGCAGCGTGACCTTCCAGGCCAGACCCAGCTGCGGCCGTGAGGTTTCAGCTTCCATCCCCGACGCTTGGCTCATCAGTCCTGGGAGCTGTTAAGCCACCTCCACTTGGGAGGTTTGTGACCCTCTTGGCCCCTCGCTGGCGGTGCCCAGCGGGGGGCCACCAGGCTGAAGGTCCAGGCCTCCAGCCCGAAAGCGTCGGGTCTGGACCACTTCCCCGGGACCGGCTTTTCGTTCCGAGTCGTTTTTAGACGGTCCCGAGGTCCGGCGAGGGCCCTTGGAGGCCGAAAACAACGCCAAACCCGCCGCTCCGATTCTTTGGGAGCGTCGGATCTCTGGGCCAGTTGCTACGAGAAGCGCTGGCGGGCGCCTTCTCGTGGCACTCGTTTCGCCCCTGATCAATCCGAACGGGAGCACAAACGTGGCGGGGCCTCCAGCGGTCGGGAAGTGGCAAGAGCAGCGCAGCCGTCGTGCAGCCAGGAAGAGCGCCAGAGAAGGAGCGAACGGGTTTTTGTTCTGGCCACGGCGAGCCTCGGCCGCGAATACGTCCTCCGATCTGGGTCTAAGGACTGGCCCGAACTCGGAGCCTCCTCTAAACCTAAAAGTGGTGTTCGGCACCTTGGCTGTGCCCGATGCCGAAAGAAACTGGAAGCCCCCCAAAAGAATGCCAAGCGTGGCATTACAACACCGGTTTCTTGACAATAGTTTGGATGGGCTTGCCCCTTGTGTTCTCATATTTCTTTCGCTCGCTTTATCTCTCTCTCTCTCTGTCTCGCACGAGTTCAGTATATATCTAGAGAGAGAGGAAAAAGAAAGAGAGAGAGAGAGAGAGATATTGAGAGAGCGATCCCAAGATAGGCAGGCAGAGAAAGAGAGAAAGAAAAACAACAACAAAAAACAAGACAAATAGAGATTCCCCGACGGACTTCGGCAAGTTGGTGCGTATGTTGTCCGTAGCGTTTCTTTCAAATTATATCCACGAGCAAATCCCAGCCCACCCGGGCTTGTGAGACCACGCCCGCCAACAGAAGCATCACTCACTTTCGCGTTCTTCTTCTCTCCCTCGCTGTCCGATGGTTTTCGCCTTCGGGGTAGACGCCACGGCCGGACGCAGAGCGAAAGCTAGCCAGGATGGATCGTGCGGATTGGTTTTGAGCGGATTTGGGTTGGAACTTGAACGTTCGGACGTCCGCTCGGACCTCCGAAGGTTTATGCTCACTGAGGCGGTTCCTGAAGAAGGCAGCGCGCCTCCCAGAGACCATCGTACCTTCTACGAAGCCCTCCGAGCAGCCGCCGAGAAGCCACCCTCTCCATCCTGACGTGGGTCGCCCAGGACCCCCCACGGTCGCGTGGGTTTCACGACGTGGGACCCTGGAGCCCTGGACCCTGTCGCCGGGACCCTCTTTCCCGCTCCGCGGATCGCTTCCTGGTGGCTCTCGCGGCCGCCGCAGGGCCCTGGTCTGGAGAGGCCACCGTGCGTGCTGCTCTCTCCACGTCGGCCCAAGCCCAGGGGATCGGGAGCCTCCGCTCTGGAGGTCGAGCCTCCACTTTGGAGGAACAGGCGCTCCCGGACAGGAGGAGACAGCGACCCCAGGGGTGGAGGGCCGAGCCTCCAGTTTGGAGGTCTTCGGTCCTCTTGGGCTCGGCTGCAATTCCTGGGAGGTTCCCTTCGGCACCGGCGCTGGTATTTTCGCGGTCGGAAACCGCCCATTCTGATGCGCTGCCCACGTCGGAGAGAGTTGGGTTCGCCGGGCCACCGGCCGAGGTGCCCTGCCGGTGGCGTCCCCGTGGGAGGGGCGCGGACCCCGGGCCTCAGGAGCACCGGCAGGAGGGCGCCCTCGCCGAGCCCGGGCCGCGGGAGCTGGCGGCGCGGAGGCCGCCCGCTCTGCTCCTCTCGGTGGGGGGGGGGGCCCGCCAGGCCGCGCCACGAGATCCGAGCAGGAGATGGGCTGAACCCGACGGATTCCCAGAGGGACCCCAAGGATTCTTAAGGATTCCTATGGAGCGTCCAGGATCATCTTTATCATCATCATCTTCATCATCATCATCATCATCATCATCATCATCATCAGCATCATCATCATCATCATCATCATCATCATCATCATCATCATCATCATCATCATCATCATCATCATCATTATCATTATCATTATCATCATCATCATCATCATCATCATCATCATCATCATCATCATCATCATCATAATCTTCGTCATTATGCTGCGATCTACAGGAAAACGTTTACTGACTCTCGTTATGCTGCGACTACTTTTGAATGTTTTGCTGACTCTGTGTTGACTTTTTAAAATGTGTCCTCCAAATCCGCCTGTAGGAGGACCTGCCCGACCTAACCGTAAGACCTAAGACTGTCTTCTCGTCGACTCTACAAACAAGTACGATGAATTCGTTTTAGGTAAACCGGAGAATCTGCACATTTTTTGTAGATTGGGCGAACATGTCAAGTCTGGGATGAATCAATTATGTGGTCGACCTCCTACTCGAAAAATGTTACAGTTTAGGTTGGTCAACCGAACAATCCGCGCATTTTGCGTAGATCGGGCGAAAGTTTTCGATTTGGGGTGAATCCATTATGTGGTCGACCTCCTACTCGAAAAGTGCTACAACTTTCGTAGGTCTACCGAGCAATCTGCGCATGTTTCGTAGATTGGGCCAACATGTCAACCCATTCTGTGGTCCACCTCCTACTCGAACAGTGCGGTCCAAGTCGATGGGGTCGGTGGGCCGCGCCGCGTCGCCACCGTATCGGCGACGGCTCGACTCGGACTGATCGGGGGGGTCCTGCGAGCGGGCGGGACGGGTGGCCTGGTGGGCCGCGGTGGGTCTCGCGTGGGGGGGAGGGGGGCTGGCGGCGCAGAGGCAGCGGCGGGAGACCGAGAGCAGCTGGTGCCGCGGCCACTCTTTGCCCTTGCTGGCCGCAGCCCCGAAAAGGCCACACTTCAAGGAGGAGGAGGAGGAGGAGGAGGAGGAGGAGGAGGAGGAGGGGTCCGACCTTCTCCACGCCGACGGCGCCGACGCATCGCCGACGCGGCGCCGATGCGTCGCCGGTGCCTCGCAAATGTGTCGGCGACGAGGCGCGACCCTCCGACCCCGTGTGCTCGGAGTCTATGTGGGCGGCCTCCAGGGTCGGGCGCCTCCAGCTGGCAGGTTCGACCTTCGGTCTAGATCGCTGGTTCCGCCGTTCTGCATGTATTTCCTCCGAGGTGAGCGTTCGGCGGCGGGCGAGGGGGGAAATGAGAAGGAGAAGGCCTTCTCGGGAGGCGGCGGGACTCCTCAGAAGCCCTCGCGCCTTCTGAGAGGTTTTTGCCCGTGTCTTCGGGGAAGGCTCAGAGCACCTCTCGGAAGGCCGGGGGACTTCCGAGCCTTCTGCGCAGGCCCGCCCCCTCCTCCACTTCCCCCCGGGCTCGCCGCCGATCCCGGGCTCTCAGGCCCCCGGGGAGGTCGCAGCGAGCCTGCCGGGGGTTCCGCCCGCTCTGCCACCCGGGGGGCCGTGCCGTCGCCGCCCAGGGCCTCGCGCTGCCTCCCGAGGCCTCCGGGCGTCGCAGGGCCGGTCACGGCGGCCAGCTCGCCCTGTGTGCGCAGCCCTCGAGGGGCGAAGTCAGGCCCTCGAGGGGCACGGGGAGCAGGAAGCTGTCGTTGGAAGCAGGCATTCCGCGGTCTCCAGATCCCAGTCTGCTTCGAGCGCCCTCCAACTCCCAGGGTGTCGATGCGCTTTGGCTGTGTGTGTGTGTGTTGCTGCTGTTCTCTGGGAGGGCCTGGCCCCGATCTGCTCGATCCGCCTCCCCGCGTCACATTTGCTGCCTGCTTCTCCCGACCGACGTCTACCCCGTGGAGCGAGAAGCGGGTCCGAGGGATGTGGGGTCGGCGGCTCGGGCCGGGCGGTTTCGGGCGCTCCCCCGCGGTGCGCTCTCGCGAGCCGCCACCCCGAAGCCTGCAAGCTCCTCGCTTGGCATCGCCGATCGACCACCAGACCTTGCCTGCTGGGCGTGGGCGATCCTCCGCGATGCCGCATATCCCGAAGCCCGTGAGTCGCACGAGTGGCCCTCCTCGCCACCGATCGACCGCCAGACCTTGCCCGCAGGGCGGGCCGAGCGTAGCTCCCCGATGCGCTTTCGTCGGGGGGTGCCACAGCGGTTCCTGGCCCAAGGTATCCCCATCTTTTCGAGACGTTTTGGGGCCTCCCCGGAGCCTTTTGGGGCTCGTGAGGAGCCCTCTGCCTCTGGAGGCCACCTGGGCTTCCCTGGAGATCCTGGGGACATCCTGGGTCTGGAACACCTCTGGCAACACCTGGTGGGAGCCGCCATCCTGGAGCTTGAGAGTCCAAGCGGTTGTGTAGCCGTTCATGGGAGCCTTCGCGTTACGCGATACCGCTTCCTTCTTTCGTGCCCCCGCGGCCGTTGTGTTCTGATGGCGCTGGGCCCATGGCCCATGGCGCCGCGCACCGCGCGAGGGCCGTAAGCTGCGCTGAGCGTGGAACCGAAGTGGACCGAAAGCAAGCGCCTAAGCGCAACGCCAAGGCTACCAGGAACGGCTGAACCCAGTGGAAGCCGCCCTCCCAGACCTGGAAAGCCCAGGCGGCTTCTCGCCTACGCGCAAGAGTGGCCTTCCGCCAGAGTGACCTCTGGTGCGGGCCCACGGGCCTCTGCCAGAGTAACCTCTGTCGCAAGGGTAACTTCTGGTCTACGCGTAAGAGTAACCTTTCGCCAAGAGTAACCTCTGGGGGTGGCCCCGGCACTGGCCTGCGCGCTGCTGGGTCTGTCCCCCCCCCCCCCGCGCGACCCGCGAAAGCGGCGCACCAAGGGTCACAGAGCGTTGCCAAGGGCAACTCTCGTGTGTGGGGTCGGCTTCCCGCGCCCCAAGTCGCCTCGCTTGCACCCCGCCGTCGCCCGCACGCTGCTCGATCCCTCGCAGCCGCCGACCAAGGGTCACCACCCCTGCCCAGGGTCACTCTCGCGTGTGGGGTCGGTTTCCTGAGTCCCAACTCGCCTCGGTTGCGTTCCACCGTTGTTCGCCCACGCGGCTTGACTCCTCGCAGCCGGTGGTCGGCTTCGCGGCATATGGGACGTGGCGCTGGGCACCCGCACTGCCGCGGCAGCCGCCCGGGAACGCCGCCATGCGGCTTCTTCAGGGTTGGCGCGCGCCGAGACCGCACGGGCCGAGGCGCCTGAAGAGTTTTAGCATCGGCGCGATTGTACGGTAGGTTCGAGTCGTGTCCACCGGCGGCGACCGGCTTTCCTCGACTAGAGGTAAGAGTGACCTTTCGACGGGGTGATTTTGGGTGGTGCGGGCTCATCGGGGCCCCGCCGATCGCCGAGCGCGATGCGATAGCAGCGGCTGGCGCGCTTGGGTTTGGTCCCCCCGGGGGCCCCAAAAAACCGCGCACCAAAGGTCACCCTTACCCAGGGCCGCTCTTGCGTCTAGCCGACTGAGGTCTCAGCATCGGCGCGCGCATGGTAGGTTCGCGTCGTGTCGAGCGGCGGCGACACCGCCGCATGCGTTCAACGCTGAACGCCGCCAGCGATCCAGAATCGGTCGATAATCTGAACGATCTGACGTTTCGGAAGCACGGCCGAACGTTCAAGGTTGAACGATTCCCACGGTGTCAGGAACAAGCTCCGGGGTCTGCACGACACGAACTTGCCGTAGTTGGCGGTGCGGACAAGTCGGGGGGCCCAAAATCGTGCAGTGACGGACCGCGCGGTGACCTCGGAACCCCCAACGACTTCCCACGCGGTCCGCCACCGCACGGTTACCTCGCATCGGACATCGCCCGAGAGGCGTCCTCGGAGAACGACCCGAGACGTCTTCGGAGAACGACCCAGGTACCAAAACCGTGTTGTGACCCCGAATCCCCACTGACTCGCTACGCGGTGTGGTCACCACACCGTTGAGAGCCCCCGAGTAATTCATGGGGGGGTGTGGGGGGGGCGATTTGAGTGGCCTTTGAAGAAGGCGGGCCCCTTCTTGTGAGACCGAAGAAAAGACGCCATAAGGATAAACTTTAGGCGCTCCGCGCAGACTTCTTCGATCCGCGCTGGGCCCTCCGCGGCGGCGCCTCTGGCGCCGCCCCTGGCGCGCTCCGCGCGCCAGGGAGGGGGGTCCAGCGCAGATCCAAGAAATCCACGTGGAGCGCCGAAAGTTTATGCTTATGCCGTTTTTTTTGTCTCCTCTTCGATTCTCAGAAGGGCCTGGGGGGCCCTCTGCAAGGGCTTCTGGGAAGCCGAGGCGGCTTCCGATGGGCTCCTCGTATGCGTGCCTGGCAGCTCTCTCTCTCTCTCTCTCTTTCAAGGCTTGGCCGAGGGCTGCGTCCCCTTGGCGCCACCCCCCTTTGTGCGCGCCGCCGGGGGGGGGAGGGAGCGGTGTCGTTCGGTGGTCGGTCCAGGTCTTCGGATCGCAGGAAAGGAAAAATTCACAGACACAAAGAATCAACGATTTTCCCGGAAAATATGGGAAAATGCGGGGCGTGGGGAAAGAACAGACGAAAACATAGAAAATAGGGGGAAATATGGGGAATCTTGGGATGTGTGTTTCTTTATTTGTGTGTCCCAGGACCCCTTTATGATCGCCGCTCGAATCTCAGCGCCCATGGTCGATGGGTACAGCTTCGGCGGCGAGCGAGGGGGGGGGCGGGGGGGAAGCGAGAGGGAGAAGACCTTCCCGGAAGGCGGAGGGGCTTCTCGGAAGCCCTCGCGCCTTCTGCGAAGTTCTTTGTGCTTCTGCGAAGAAGTCTTTGAACCAGTTTCTCAGAAGGCCGATGGGGACCTCCGAGCCTTCGGAGAAGGCCCACCCCCGCTCGCTTCCCTCCCGGGCTGGCCGCCGAGGTGGGTGCGGGTGGTGTGGCGTCGTTCGGTCTTCGGCCCAGCTCTCGACATCCCGTTGCCGCCCGGGCACCGCCGCACAACTTCTGCTCTCCTCTTAGGCCTCCATAGAGATGGGGTCAGAGTAGCTGGGGTCGGAGGGTCGCTCCGCATCGCCGATGCATCGGCGATATTCTCGATGCGGAGCCCGATTTGCTTCACGTCGCCGTCGCCGATGCATCGCCGACGTCGACGATACATTGCCGGTGCATCCCCGATGCATCGCCGATGCATCGCGGATGCGGCGCGCTCCTCCGACCACATCTATTCGGACCCCATTTTAGGAGGCCTGTTTCTCCAGAGCATCGGTCTCATCTGGGTCTGCAGGGGGGGCCGCTGCTCTTCAGAGTCCTACCCCTCGCCTCAGCGCCCTCGCAACGCACGCTCCTTGCAGCGCAAGAGCCTCCCAGAAGGACGGTGGTACCCTCTCAAGGTCTCAATCGCGATACACATTTGGGCGACGGAAAAAAACAAGTCCTACTTGCGCCGACATTTGCGCGTAAGTTTCCCGCGTGAGGTCGCGCGTAAGCAGCGACAAGGATAAAATCCGGTTCCTTCTCGAGCGTATTGCTTTTTGACACACGTCGCTGCGTAATCCCGAGGGAATGACGTATAAGTCCGTCGGGCTTTCGTTTTCTCACGGTGCCAGCCTTCCCAGGGTCGCTCCCTGTGGCAGGGCCACAGGTGCATGACCCTCCCATGTCCCCAGGTCGTGGCAGGCCCACAGGACAGGCACAGTTTCGCCGGGCCCTCGCCGCAGCATTCGTGGTGAGTGTTGAGTGTTGGCTGCGCTCTGGCGCTCGTCGCCTCGATCTCTTCGCAGGGCGCCGCTCCTGCTCCTGGAAGGCCTGCCCGAGGCGGCGGCGAGGCATGGCCAGGCAGGCGGCCCCAGGGCCATGCAATGTGCACATTGCATGGCCCATGGGGAAAGTGTTTCCTGGCGACGTCGGTGCGGATCGAGGCGAGGCCTGCTATTCCCCAATCAGAGCTTGCCTCTGTACGGGGTCCTAGCGGATTCACTTGGTTAGGTTAGGCTTGTCGCCGATTTTCGCTGCACGCCCGGGTGCCCAGGGGTGCCCGGGTGCCCAGGTGCCCGGGGCCTGGAAGCCCCGGGGTGCCCGGGTGCCCGGGTGCCTGGGTGCCCGGGCGTGCCTGGGGGTGCCCGGGGGTGCCCTATAGTCCTAAGCCCTATAGCCCAACAGCCCTATAGCCCTACAACTCTATAGCCCTATAGCTCTATAGCCCTACAGCTCAATAGCCCTATAGCCCCCTAGCCCTATAGCCCTGATTGGGTTTTTCTCCGGTATCATGCATAGTATGCTGATGGGTTCTTTGGCGAGTGCACATTACGTTCCCATGCGCTGTCTTCACACTCGCGAGAAGTTCTACGTGCACGATACAGAACAGTTAGACACACGGCATTCAAGACAACACGTGACAATCTGTTGTTGTAAGGAAGAGGTCGCCCATATGTTAACATTGTGGGCGGTTCTAGCCACACACACCATATTAGATGAATAACGTCCTAACGATCTGGTCAGTCGTTGTGGGCCGTAATGAACATGTGTCAGAGAGGTTGTGGAATCTAGGGCCGTGGCCAGAAACGCGTTCCTCTGCTATCCTCACGAACAATCAGAGCCTAGCCTTCCGTGTATGATTGCGCGGGCACGTGCATGCGTTCCGCGCGTTGTGTTTGTGTGTTGCGGTTGTGTGTGGGTGTGGGCGTGTGTGTGCGTGTGTGCGTGTGTGTGTGCTCGAAGAATGCGTGTGCTTGCACATGCATGCCTCGCACGGGCAAGGGAGGGGCCTCGCACGGGCTAGGGGAGTGGGCTCGCCGTGTGCAGGCGTGAGCGGGACAAGGACGGCAGCCGCAGTATCAGCCGCGGGACCGCACGCGATTCTGCTGATACGCTTCTCTTTCCTGCTGGCCAGTCCGATGTCCTGTCCAGGAGCCCGTGGCGCGGCCCCCATGGTGCCAGCGAAGCCGTATGTGTGGCGACCCTTTGAGCGCCGCCAGGAAGGCGATTACATGTAACACTGCCCGTCTCCACTTCTTGAGGAGCTCGCATGGTGCCTATTTGGAGCTTCTTGGGGCTGCCTTGGGCTCCCGTGGGGCAGCCTTGGGGGCCGTCGTAGGGCTCTCTTGGCCGTCTACGGGGTCTCTCGGGGCCGTCGTGGGGCCGTCGTGGGGCATTCTCGGGCTGGGCCGCCAAGGGCAGCCTCGGGAGACCGGGGCGATGCATGCAGGACGCGTGCAGAGAGGGGAGGGGGCCCTCAAATGACCTAAAGCAACCCCTACCAGGCAGCAATGGGCAGTCGACCACGCCTCAACGTACCAGGGGCCACGGTGGCGGAGCCATTCGCGTCGTCGGCTGCTTTCGCGGCTGCCACGTTGTCACCGCAAGGAAGGACCAGGTGGGGAGCAGCGGCATGACCACGTCCACCACGAAGGAGGGACATGCCACCAGTTTTCTGGGGAGGTCGTCGTGCAGGACCAGGAGGCGTGTGAGCCTGGACTGGCTGGCGCCCCTCCCTGCCATCATTCTTCCGGATCCGCGTAGGACGCCACTCCGCTGGAAGGATGGCGAGGTCTAGTCAGAATCTGTAAGGATGGCGAGGTCTAGTCAGAATCTCTGCTCGGTGCCCACCATGCTGGCCCCGCCAGCAGCCCTCGAACGTGTCGACAGCCTGGCGGCTCGCACCCGCTCCAGGCAGCTCGAGGCCTGATCCGAAGCCCCGTTCGGCGCCCACTGCGCCGGCCCCCCCCCACCAGCCCTCGAGAGTGACGAACGGTCTCGCAGATCGCGGCCCCCCCTGTCACGGCGACGCCTGATCCGAGTCCCCGCCCTGTGCCCACAATCATGCCCACCCACCCCCAGCAGCCCTCGAAAGGAATGGCACTCTCGCAGCTCGCGAGGAGGAGGAGGAGCAGGAGGAGGAGGAGGAGGAGGAGGAGGAGGAGGAGGAGGAGGAGGAGGAGGAGGAGGAGGAGGAGGAGGAGGGAGGGAGGGGGGAGGGAGGGAGGGGGAGGGAGGGAGGACCCCCCCAGTCTGGGCGAGGTCTAGTCTGAAGCCCCGCTCGCTGGACCCACGAGGGGCTCCCCCGACAGGGCACCCAGGCCCCCAGATGTCCCCAAGCAGCGCCCGACGAGGGCCCCAAGAGGGTCCCCAAGACGGCCCCGGACAACCGCAAGAGAGCCGCGCCCGACCCTGAGATCCGACGCTCCAAAGAAATTGGAGCAGGCGGTTTTTAACAGTTTACGGCCTCTGGGGGGCCCTCGCCGGGTCTCGGGAGCGTCAAAAAACAACTCGGGACGAAACATTGGCCCTGGAGAAGTGGTCCAGACTTCCAGGGTCCACGCACCAAAACAATTGGAGCAGCTGGATGTCTGGGGAGGAGCCCCAGATGGCTCCAAAACGGCCGCAAGACCGTCCGAAAAGCGCCCGGAGATGCCACGAGAAGGCTCGAAGACTGCCCAGGGAGCCCAAAAAGGCTCCAAGACCGCCCAGGAGCGCCCAGAGATGCCCCAAGAAGGCTCGAAGACGGCACAGGAATGCCCAAGAGGGCCCAAGGTGGTCCCAAGAGCGCCCAGAGATGCCCCAAGAAGGCTCGAAGACGGACCATGGAAGCCCAAAATGGCTCCAAGACCGCCCAAGAGCGCCCAGAGATGCTCGAAGACGGCCCAAGAGGGCCCAAGAGGCGACAAGATACTCCCAAGAGGAGACCACAGCGGCCAGCTAGTGATGGGCCGATTGCCTGTGACCGACCAGATCCTGAGCGCGCGCGAGACTCCTAGTGCTCGATATGTATACTACTCTTTCGCTCTCCCTCTCTCTCTCTCTTTCTCGTTATCTCTCGTTCTCTCTCTCTCTCTCTCTCTCTCTCTTTTTCTCTCTCTCTCTCTCTTGTTTCTCTCTCTATCTCTCTCCCTCTCCCTCCCTCTCTCTCTCTCTCTTCTTCTTGTCCTTTTTCTTTCTCTCTCTCTCTCTCTATCCTTCTCTCTCCCTCTCTCTCTCTCTCTTTCTCTCTCCCCCTTGGTTCTGTGCGAGCGGGGAGCTGGAACATGTGGACGGGGAGGGAGGGAGGCCTCTTGTGTTTTCTGGAGCCTCTTGGGGGTCTTCTTGAGAGCCTCCAGAGGGTCTTCTGGATCTTCCTGAGGGCCTCTTGGGGGTCTCTAGGGGCCTCTTGGGGGCCTTTTGCGGCCTCCTGGGAGGCTCTGGGGCCGAAGGTTCCCAAGATCCTTGTCTGGGCACGCTCTGGGAGTTTTTTCTTCGGGGCCTTTTGGGCGTCTTGGAGGCCTCTTGGGCTGTCTGGAGGACTTATTGGGTCGTTTTGTGGCCGTCTTGGAGACTTCTTGGGCTATCTTTGGGCGATCTTGGAGGCCTCTTGGGCCGTCTTGGAGCGTCGGGAAGCCGAGAAGGCGAGAACACAAAAATCTTTCAAGCACATAAAGGCAGTATTCCTACTTCTGTATCTTTGTAGGGCCGGGGAGCCCACACCCCAGCGCACCCCCCCCAAACGAATTTCGCCTCCTCGGGCCTGTCTTGCGCCTTCTGTGGCCATCCTGGGGTCGTCTTGACGCCCCCCCGAGTCAAGCGATAGTGTACAAGCGAGAGGGTCGAAAATATTGCTTTTCTACTGCGTTTTCTCTGCTTTTCCCACTCTCCGGGCCCTGTTGCGCCAGCCTTGGGCCTCTTTGGGGCTCGTCTGGGGCCTAATCTGGAGCCGTCTTGGAGGCATCTGGCCGCTTCAAGAGCCAATCGGAAGCGACAAGGCGAGGAGACCAAAAACCTTGCTTCTCCCATGATTTTCCGACATTTGCCCATCTCTGGGCCCCCTCTCCGGGCCCTATAGGGCTGGGGAGCCCCCCCCGCCCTCCCCCAAAAGACTTTCGAATCCTCGGGCCTGTCTTGCGCCTCCCTGTGGCCGTCCTGGGGTCGTCTGGACGCCCCCCGAGTCAACCGGAAGTGAAAAAGCGAGAAGGCCGAAAGCATTGCTTTTCTATTGCGTTTTCTCTGCTTCTCCCACTCTCCGGGCCCTGTTGCGCCAGCCTTGGGCCTCTTTGGGGCTCTTCAGGGGACTCAGTTGGAGACGTCTTCGAGCTGTCTCGACGCCTCAAGAGCCAATCGGAAGCGACAAGGCGAGAAGACCAAAAACCTTGCTTTTCCATTGATTTTCCTACATTTCTCCATTCTTGGGCCCCACTCTCCGGGCCGAGTTGCGCCATCTCCGGGCCCTGTTGCGCCAGCCTTGGGCCTCTTTGGGGCTCGCCTGGGGACTCATTTGGAGATGTCTTGGAGCTGTCTGGACGCTCAAGAGCCAATCGGAAGCGACAAGGCGAGAAGACCAAAAACCTTGTTTTCCCAATGATTTCCCTAAATTCGTCCGTCCTTGATCTTTCTTGCGGCCTCTCCTTGGAACGCCAGATCGACGCACCACATGAGGATGATGTTCCGCGCATCGTGCCTGTCCAGCGTGCCATCGAGGAAAAGAAAAGGGAGAAAAGAAGGAAGCGGAATGAGGAAAAGGAGGGAATAACAGAAAGAGGATGAAGATGAAAAGGAGAAAGAGGTGGAAGGAAAATGCGGAGGAAGAGCAAGAGGAAGAGGATGCCCTGCTTCATGCTACCCCAACCAGTCGCCTGAGACTTACTCGCGCCTCTGGGCACAGAAACGCTTTGAGCTGGCCAGAGCTGGTGTTGTCAAGTCGCTCCCGCTTAGGAGATCCTGACCCACTCCGACTTGGCGGTGGCCAGCCCCACGTCCACTCGCGCGCACGCCGCCTGCATTCGAATTCACAAGGAACAAGGTGCATGGCGCGAAGCGCCACTGCAGTCTTGTGTGTGTGTATATATATATATATTTATTTATTTATTTATACGTGTGTGTGTGTACCTCTTGGGGCACTCTTCGGAGTACTCTTGGAGGCCTCTTGGAGTGTTTCGGAAGTGTCTTGGACTGCCTGGAGGCTATCTTTGGCGTCTGGGACGGATAACTTCGCGATTCGGAGCCCTCGTGGACCGTCTTGGAGGCCTCTAGGGGGATTCTTGACCCGTTTTGGTACTGTTTGGGCCCCGGAGCCCCCCCTGGCACCCCCCTCGACCCCCCCCCAGCGGGTTTCAGATCAAAGGGAAGGGGCTTTCCTTCGACTCAACTGCGAAGTTGCTCAATTTCACTTTGACTGGCGCGCTTGCGGAGGAGAACCCAGGGAAAGGGCGGGAGCGGCGACGGCGACGGCGACGGCGTCGGCGAGGGCGACGGCGACGGCGACGGCGACGGCGACGGCGACGGCGACGGCGACGGCGACGGCGACGGCGACGGCGACGGCGACGGCGACGGCGACGGCGACGGCGACGGCGACGGCGACGACGACGACGACGACGACGACGACGACGACGACGACGACGACGACGACGACGACGGAAGAACGTCTTCCACATGCCAGCAGGGTCGGCGGAATTAAAAATATGTTCATTAATCTTTTCGCTCATTCCGACGGCCCGTATCGTGCCATCGCAGGCGTCTGCCTTCGCGTTCGGGGCCTCTTGGGGCCTCTTGGGGGCCGTTTGGGGGCCTCTTGGGGCCTCCAGGGGGCCTCCTGGGCTCTCTTGGGGGCCTCTTGGGGCGGAAGACTCGAATTGGTGGTTCGTTTTCCCGCTCTTGGGCTCCTCTTGGGGCCGTTTTGGGGCCGTCTTGTGCGATCTTGGGCGCCTCTGGGGCCGTCTTGGAGCCCTTTTGGACCGTCTTAGGGCCCTCTTCGGGGCCTCCGGGGCCGTCGTGGGGCTGTCTTCTGGGCCTCTGGGGCCATCTTGGAGCGTTGGAAGCCAATAAACGCGAGAACGCGAAAACCAAAGAAAATCACAAGGCAAATCCAGGATTGTTGCTTCTTTGGCCCTCTTTGGGGTCCTCTTGGAGCGCTCTTGGGGCTTGTTTGGGGCCTATTGGGCCGTCTTGGGGCCATTTTGAGCGTCTTGGTACCATCTTAAGCGTCTTGGAGCGCTCTTGGAGCGCTCTTGGACCGTGACTCCGACTCGTGGGCCCTCTTGGAGTTGCCTCGAGGTTCTTTGAGACCGCTCCCGGGGCGATCCAGAGGGCACCGAAAACCGCCAGCGGCATCCTTGAGCGTACCTCGAGCGGACCTCCTTGAGCGTACCGGATCTTGGAGTTCTGGCGTCCTTGAGCGGACCTTGCCGGGACCCTGCTGTGACCTTGTCTGGAGTCGGACGGGGTACTTTTCGTCTGGGGACCCCCAGGGGCCGCCCTGCGCGCGCGAATTAGAAAGCACATGCTCTGTGAACCAGCGATCGGAGATCTTAGCACGCCCCTGGCCGGTTGGGCCGGCGGATTTGTTTCACGTGTTCTTTCGAGGGGGGCGTTGTTTCGAAAGGTGCTCCCGCTGCAGCGTTTGCCTCACTTCAGTATCGGCGCGTGGTCCCCGGCGTTCAGAATGGCGCTTTCGCCCCAGCTTGAGCCGCTCTTCTGGATCCGAATCTCTCCACGTCGTTGTCGCCCCCCTCCTTTCCATTTCTTCACCTTCTCCTGGTCCTCCTGCTGCCCCCGCTCTTCCTACTCCTGCTCATGCTGCTGCTGTTCTTCCTCCTCCTCCTCCTCCTCCTCCTCCTCCTCCTCCTCCTCCTCCTCCTCCTCCTCCTCCTCCTCCCCCTTCCTCATTTATCAGCTTCATCTTCCTTCTGCATGTCCTCTTCTTCCAATGTGCATAGATCCTTTTCTGATTGCACATCACACGGTGGGATCAGTTGGGGGATTCAGGTCCGCTGGGGCGCCCGTCGACAGATAGAGAAAAATCAACGCAACAGAAAGGGATGGGCGGGTAAGATGCCAGATATGGCGCACACATAGCTTGCCCCCCCCCCAGCCCCCCCCTCTCGCATCCCTGCCTCCCTCCCGCCCTCTCCTGCGGGGGGGGGGGGCCTTGCTCTCACAGCAGTCAGTTTGCGGCTCGCTGGGGGTGACAGCAGAGTGCCGTTGGAGACTCCTCCTTCCAGGCCCAGCGCCCGCGGGAGATGCATACAGTCAACCCGCATAGTAAGGATGGGCAACCTTCCCAAGGGTACCCTTGCATCCTTGCCTCCTCGGTATATCCTTAGCCAATTTCGCTGGCCGCGCCCCGCTCGCAAAGTGTCGACATGGCCTCCCAAGGCCCTTGCATCCTTATCACGCGTCCTGTTAGGGCGGCACGAGGGAGAAGGCACGGCGGTCTTTCGAGGTTGATTGCCAGGAGGAGGAGGAGGAGCAGGAGGAGGAGGAGGAGGAGGAGGAGGAGCGAGCGAGCAGCGAGCAGCGAGGAGGAGGAGGAGGAGGAGGAGGAGGAGGAGGAGGAGGAGGAGGAGGATTGGACATGATTGGACGCCCATACGGGGAGAAAGAGAGAGAGAGAGAGAGTCCAAGAGGGTCCAAGCCTCTAAAGACGCCCAGGTGCCCCCCTTCAGAGGGGAACTTTTTGTCAACCAGGAGTGGTGGCGACAGCCACCCCATGGGCCAGCGACGGGGGGGCACCTGGGCTAAAGAAGGCCGTCTTCGTCTTCATCCACAACATCCGGCTCGGCCTTTTTCCTGGCCAGGCGTTCGAGCGCCTGGGCTCTGGAAGACAACCGTTTGAAGACCCTGAAGCATGCCATGGGTTAACCTAACTGTTG